CACTCACACTCACACTCACAGACACACACACACACTCACAGACACGCACACACGCATTCACAGACACGCACTCACAGACACGCACACAGACACGCACTCACAGACACGCACAAACGCACTCACACACACTCACACACACTCACTGACACACACACACACACTCACAGACACACACACACACACACAGACACTCACACACACAGACTCGCACGCACACACACACACACGCTCTCCGCCTGTCAATAATCTGTCACTCCTCACTATCATTCTGTCCCTCCTTCCTCTTCCTGTGGCGTGTGTAAGTGAGCCTCAGACGTCTGAGAGACGGGAAGAGCCAGACGTCTTTGCCCCGGCGCTCAGGTTCTGTGTGTGTGTGTGTGTGTGTGTGTGTTTGAGCACGAACCTTCTCGACCGTCTCAAGGTCAAGTAATGTTTCTAACACTGATGTGTGTGAAAAAGATCGAAACAATAATTCTATTATTTTCAGTTTTATTGTGCTATTTAATCAGATTCTCTTAGATCATGTGATCTCGGTTCATATTTCATACAGTTAGAATCAGGGCTGCGTGATTAATTGAAAAACCGAAATTGTGATTATGAGTAGTAAATAATAAATAATTAATTTTGCTTGGAAAAATAAAATAATAAATATTATTATATCCATAAATTCCATAAATATTTGTATTAAAACAAATAAAACAATAATAATAATTATTATTATTATTAAATAGTAGATTTTTCTGTGAAGTTGCAATATTTTATTCTAATATTTTTATTTTATATTTTTATTTTATAATAATAAATCTTATTATAGCAACAACAATAATAATTATATTTTCTATAATAATGTTTAAAATTGATATTATTATTGTCATAAATATATTGTAATTATATATTTTAGTGTAAATAAAATAATAGTAGTTGTTGTTGTTGTTATCTGTCTTTAATACCAGATTTTGTGAAATGCTACAATAATATTTTAATATTTGTATTTAATTATTATTATTATACATTTTTATCTTAATTTTTATTTATCTTAAATTCTAAATTTTTCCTATGTAATGGTGTAACTTATTTTTGTTTAATTATATAATAATAATAAAATTATATATATTTTTTTGTCAGTACAACTCTAAAATGACATTTATTATTATTATTATGATTATTATTATTAAATTGTTTAAACCTACAAATAAGCACCAAACTTGGAGTTTTTGTTTGTTTTTAAAAAAATTCACATTTTAAGTCTCAATTAAATTTTTATCCGAAAAATTGCTATTACATTTTTTTTTTCCTCCAAATTGTGTGTCTGGATCAGATTCTATTCAGTCGGATTCAGTTTGATTCGGTTACGTTATTCAGTCAGTGTACTATCAGATTCTACTGTAATTGATCAGTGTGTTCGGTATGATTCAGTTGAATCAGATTCTTCTGATGTCATTCCGTTTGGCCAGATTTTTTCTCTGGTGTGTCTTGACCTTTGACCCCAAACTCACCCTCTCCATCACCCCATTTTCATTCATGCTCATCTTAAGTTTGTTAAACACTGAAGGCCTATGAGTCTCTGCATTGTGTGTGTGTTTGCTGCGGTCTTGCATTCATGTGTATGCGATCAAACCCAAACCCACACTAATTCAAACCCGGCCGATGTGGACCAGATGAGCGAACGCGGAACAGACTCGAGACGTGAGCGGATGCGTGTGATTGGCTCATTCTCAGTCTGCTTCCTCCCACAGCTCCGGAGGACAGACTCCTCGCAGAGATCTGGAGAAAGTGCTGACCGGAGAGGAGAAGTGAGTCTCAACACCACACTCATTTCTGTCTCTGCAGTATTTTAGTCATGTTTTATAGTGAATCACACAAAACCTGTCAAGAACATCTCAATCATATTTCACTCCACAGCCTCAAGACATGTATGCAGAAATAGATCATAAATACATAATAAAGCCTGTTTTAATGTTTTATTAATTGACTGTAAATACCCTACAATTTAACCGATTTGTTATATA